GCATTGATTATAATTGCTGAAGAGGCTGTCTTTTTAAAGTGGCTCTCCCGGGGCTGATGAGAATTTTTCTGAGAATGAACATTTCAGTGAAGTGTAGCTCACAGCCAACAAAGTAAAACCAAAACAATCCAATGACATATCATGAGTGTTGAGTAAATAATACAAGTAGGTATGTAGACTCAAAAATGAGGGAACAAATATCTCGACACTTTCAATAGCCACCTAATCCAATTCTTTCCGGTTTCATCTGGTGCAGAGATGGATTTCGACAATATAGCAGCACCACTTTAAGGGATGTTTACCAGCACACCGAAAGCGTTTCGGGCTCCACGCTTCACTGCGAAAATCCCGGAAGCGCCGCCGACACGAAGAATTCAGGCTCGGGCGCATGTTCCTTTGCATCCGGGGCCCGCTAGAACTCGGATCCTGATTGGCTGACAGGCGATTCGGGGGGCGGTACATGGGTCCAACTGCGGGGATTGAAAATTTAAATTTCCACACTCACGCCGGGAAACCGCCGGCCGATTCTCATTGGCTAACGTGACACGCTCCTGGCCTGATTGGCTGAAGGCGATTCGGGGGGCGGTACATGGGTCCCGCGGCAGGGCTTTTCAATTTCTTGGCGCGCAGTCTGTATCCACACTCATGAAACCGCTGGGCGATTCTCATTGCGTGACAGGCGATTCGGGGTTTTTTTAAAATGTCTTGTTTTGGCTGAACCTGTGTACTTTTTCCCCGCACACTCGTGCCGGGACTCCAACCAAGCAGCGCTCCCCTCACGAAAGTAAGTCGTTTTCTCCAAAACTCTTCGGGCTGCGGAATTTCGCGGTTTAAAATGTCATTTCAGTCATTGCCGATCAACAGTAAAAAGGAGGTTTTACCCGCTTTGCTCTACGGTTACCCAGCGTTGCCTCCCAGCTTGAGTATTTTAAATCGAGTTTTAAATGTTTTGAAACTTAATGAAAGTAAAAGACTCACTGTGCGGGTACACTGGTAGAAGAAGTTAGTTTTTTTTCCCTCCATTTCATACGTAGATTATACTTTTGAAGGTCTATGCTTAAAGCTTCAGCGATTCTGCCACAGCAGCAGAATCATCATCATTCCTGCATGATCGCGTTTTAATGCAATATCACCTCGTATCGACGCCAAATCAGGAATAATATTAAAACATCTGATATGGAATCTGATTTTGAAAGTCTTATGTAAGGTGTGGAATCACCAAAGCCCCCCAAAAATACGAATATGAATGTGTTCTCCCGTATAAAAAGCTTTACTGCGTTAAGATCAAGCTGCTCCAAGAGGACTGCAATTCCTGAGTTCTAAAACTAAAAAATGACAGCACGGCGACTTACAGCCCTGTCACGAAGCTCGCAATTGCGTGCTTAATTCGAAATCTTGCACACTTCTCGTACACCGTCAATTTATTTTGCTCTCCATGAGGCGCAAAGGCAACAACTACGTTTAGTAACTCGTTGACTTACGAGACGGGAGTCTTAAGCAGTGGGACGGGTTGTAACTGCTCCTACCTACAACGGGACACTTCTCTCTAATGCATGTAACACCACCCTTTCTTGTTCCATTTTATACTTTTATACTGCCGATATTGGCACTAAGACGGTCAGTAATGGCGGCCGTCAGACCTCCGGGGGAAAAGGGACGAACTGCCGCTCAGCCAATGAGCTCTTAAAGTCGTCATGACGTATGAATGACGCACAGTGCTGGCAAAAAATACAGTTCTAGTTCACGATGGGCAATGACGAAATTCAGACACTGTCGGACGTTTCTAAATACTCCATATCAGACCAACAAAATAGGCATGACTTGGCCACACAAAAACTAAATCACCTATTTCACAAACTAGCATCAAAATCTAAGCTTAAAAACAACAAAATAAAAAAATACCACAAAGCAAAAGGAAAGTGGTTTGATATGGAGTGCAGAAACATCAGAAAAGCACTACGAATACTCAAATCAAAAAAAGCAGACATCCACACAACACATCTGTGCCTCAGTTACTGTGAAATAGTAAAACATTACAAACGCGCTGAGAAAGAAAATAAATGCATACATATACAAACAGCTTTTGGAAATTGAGGAGTCACTAAACCAGAAGAATTGGCCATCCAAAATGGAACAATCTGGCAAACATACTTTGAAAACCTGTACCAGATGCTCCCAAATACAAATAAATCAGACCAAAAAAATGTGCTTGCTTCATTGATTTCAAGAAAGCATTTCAAGAATCACGCGTAAATCCGATCTGTAAGAGATCTTTCTGGAGCTAGCACCTCATACCATCAAATTACGAAAACTTCTCCATTTTGCAGTAGCTGGCAGCATCCCCATAAAAAACTACAAATCACCCAGTTAAGGCTTAACCATCAACCTGTGTAAATTAAACACAATACTCGTACGGATTCCCATAACGTACAATCATAACATACAGAAATACCTATTTGACTCCTTTACAGTACAATCTTAGATTGAAACTGGCCGCATCTGCAGCATCGGTCCAAACGTGTTTCTAGTCCAGATTACCAAGTGGAGAAACTAGAATTAATCGTGCCTCGCAAAAAAGAAAACGTCGAACGCTCACCTTTATCAGGACTGCATCAGCATAAAACACCACCTGTTAAATAAACGAGCGAAATGTTTTAGAAACGGGTCTTCTGTCTTTCCCATGCTGGTGCGGCTCGCCTCTCCCTCCGCTTCCTGTACACTGTAACGGCCATGTGGGAGGGCACTGCGCCGCTTGAGTCTCATTGGCTAGCGTCACTCGCTACTCGGATTCTGATTGGCTGACCTGACTCCATCTGTGAGGGTTTTTAATTTCTTGGCGTTTTTTCTTTTTTTTTTATTTATGCTTAACAAAAGAACAAACATTACAATACAAACAAGAGTACATATAACAATTCCAAACAAAAATATCGTCAGGGGTGCATACGACTACATCAATTCAAGTTATGAAAAAAGATTAAACAAATGAAATAAAAATAATGTCCGCAACGCTTTCATATTTTTGCATTTCGAAATAGTCCGCAAAGACCCCTTTACTTCCATTTTAAAATGCTCAAACACAGGGTACCTCCCAGACCACTTCATTTGATGTATGTGATAACGTGCCAATATAATTAAATTTATTACAAAAGAAATTTTTATATTGTTTTCACTGGGGCTGAAACTTAACATAATATCTTTTTCAACAAA